CCCGTTTCTCCCCTCCCTCCTCCCCACTCTTCCCCCCTTCCTCCTCTGGATACTTTTACTCCTGGTCACGCCTTCGGCGGTTTGGCTGTGCAGCAGGGGGATGGATGTCTCCCTGAGATACACCCAATGCTCGTGCGGTGGGTGACACAGGCTGTTGCCCCAGCCTTCAGCGGACAACAGGCCTTTTCCTCCCCGGTCTCCTTGCATTGCTTGTTAAAACTTAAGAGCATAATATGGCGGCGTATCGTATCTTTTTGAAGTGCTCAAAATCACTCCCAAGATTATGGCTGAAGATTGATGCACACAGCTGCCAGACGTGACCATAGGGGCCTTCCAGATTCATGCACACCACACGGGCAAAAGGTAAGGAACAATACTTTTTGTTTTTTTTCGTTTTTTCGTTTCTTCCCATATACTAGCTCAAGATTCATCCTCGCTTTGGACATGGTGAGGGCCTGAGAGCATCCACACACAGCTGGCAGACATGTTACTTCTTTTTTGTTTCCCTTTTTAAAAGATCTTCCCAGGTTCTAGCTGAATACTCATCCTCGTCAGGCTTCGACACAGTTGGTAGACGTGCTGTCGTTTTTGCCATTATCTTCCCGTGTTCTAGCTCAGGATTCATCCTCACTTTTGTCATCTGGTGAGGGCCTGAGGACAGCCGCACACAGGTGGCAGATGTTTTTTTTTTTTTTTCCGGTTTCGTCAGGATTTTGTAGCCCCGCAGGGCATGCGTTGGTCTCTTTACCTTTGTCCTTGGGAGCGTTTCTCCCGGTGGCGTATTCAAGTACAAGCACTTGGTTTCCTACGCATGGATACTAAGACAGGCACAGGCTAGGGTCGTTCACACGCACAGGAAAACGTTCGAAGCCCCACTTGCGTGTGTTTGGACGATGTGTGGAGTACTGCCGCCCCATCTCAACATCGCACAGCCGCGCTGTGGCCACATTGAAAAATCATCGAAACCAGGCGTCTGCGCCAGCTCGTGCAACTTGACCCTGGGTAACAGCTATACCGCACCGGATGCAGTAAAGCAACCCAGAGGTGGCAAACCTCGGGTAGGAGCACATGGGGCCTGGGTGATTTTTATTTTAATTTTAATTTTTGGTTTTGAGATGTCATCATCAACCAGCGGTAGCTGACTTGCAATTGTGGTGCCTTGCCCAGCTGTCTCCGCGGCGTTCGAACTTGGGTCCATACTTTGACGGTTCAGGGAGGGCGTGCTTTTCTCTGTTTTCGTGTGCAGTTCAGGGGGCCCCTCGACATCTGGTCGACACCGTATAGCCTCCTGTCCCGCATGGGACGCAGGATTGGACCTTGGCCGCGGCATAGCCGCGCGGGTCCACTTTTATATATCTTAAAGGAAGGAGTGGTCCTCCCGTGATGGCCCCCAGGGCCCAGGAGAACCTGGGGGTGGAGTTCCGTGCACGGTGCCACAGGCAAACCGGGACGAAAACAAGAGGCCTGCCGCACGGCCCTGGAGGAACCACGGGCGGAGGACCGCGAGGCCCGCCAGGCAGTCCTGCTGCCGCAAGAAAGTGTACCTGCCGTAATTTAGTGTACACTGTATAGTATATAGTTCAGCGAGTAGGGGAGAAAAGGAAGAAAAGGGGAAGGCAAAGGAGAGGAGTGGTATCAGGAAAATGATAGCTGGACAGAATAATCTGTGCATGGTCTTTCGCAGAGTAGGGTCGGGAACTGATGCTATTAATAGCAGAGTTGCTACAAGGGGTTCCCAGGCAAAAACAGGAGCACTGCATTTTGACAGCGCATGGGATGAATGCAGAACTAAGGTGCTGCTTTTTATGATGGTGATACCAATAGGGTGGGACTGGGAAAGGCCCAAAGCTGCTGCTAGGGTGTGCTCTTACCACCTCTCTTAGCAAGGACACTGGGTGAAAAAAAAAAAAAAAAAAAAAGTTAAACTTGGATTCCGATAGGGGTGGGGGAAAAAGATATTGCAGGGTCAGACTGGGAGAGGGGATTTTACTATTTTAGAGTGTTCTTGCAAGTATTTAAGGTGTGTGATGTAGAGTACTGGAGGTGCAAAGCGCATGGAGTGTTTTGAATCGGGGTTGGGCGAGCTTGCTCTGAACGGATGTGGCCACGGACGGCACTGAGCATGGCAAACTTTCAGTAGCAGCAGCTCTGTTGCTGCGCGATGGGTGAAGGCAATCACCTCTTGTTCCCTTGGAACAGGGCACGCAAGGCATCTACCGGCAAGGAGCACCCCCAAGCGCTCAGACACCTAGTTCTGCCCCCCATTGCACACCAACACTTACTTGCTGCCCATTGGGACTACTGCTGGGGCAGAGCAGCCACAATCTGATGTCGATTTTCCCTCTTGTATGTTTGCCGATGATAAGCAACCAGACTGTTGCCCCCCAGAGAGGAAGGGGCGTGTGCGTGTTTGGAAAACAGAGAAAAAAAGTGCAGATATTTCATCAGCGCCACAGATCTCACAACGTGTCAGTATTCCCACTTTCAGTGGTCTTTGGCCTTGTACATTAAAAGGCAAGACCTCAGGTGCCTTCTTTCCATCATCGGCAAGAACGTCGCAATCACCAGCAGCAACATCGGATTCCTCTGCCTCATGGCCCAAGTAATTCCTATACTACACCATCCTCTCCTCTGCCTAGCTTTAACTACCTGTTTCCCTCTGGCCAATACACAATCATCTCCTTTGCCTACCCTTGCCCGCCGACTTAAAGCGTACATCGTCATCCCCCTCGTCCCCACCTTTCCTCCTCTTGGCCCCTTTGCGGTTGCTGTCCTTTTCTTTCATATATGTGATTGCCATTCTCTGTGCATCATTGACCCTCTCCTGAAGAAGTAGCACATCTTCCTGCTCTGCTGGGAATGCCTCCATTTTCTTGCCTACCAGGTGCTCGATCTTCTGGTACAGCTCCACATCATACTGTGTGACAATCGATACTGCCCGGCCAGACCTTCCTGCACGTGCAGTTCGCCCAACCCTGTGGATGTAATCCTTCGAATTGGTCGGTATGTCATAATTAATGACCACGTCGACGCTTGGAATATCCAATCCCCTACTCGCAACGTCCGTGCAGATGAGAATGGACCTCTCCCCTGCCTTAAACTTTGCCAGAGCTCCCAGTCGCTTCGGCTGACTCAGTTGCCCACTGATGGGAATTGAATCGAAGCCGAGGTTACGGAGAAGCAGCGCAAGTCGCGTCGTCCCGTCGCATGTGCGTGTGAAGACCATTGCCGTGTTCCCTGCGATCTCATTCATCAGATAGACAAAATAGCAATCCTTGAACTTTGCAGGGACAAACATGTATTGCTGCCGAAGGGTGTCTACTGTCGTATACTTGGAACAAACCTCCACCTTCACAGGGTTTTTCAGACAAGCACGCTGCAGCTTCGCCACTTTACTCGTCATTGTGGCAGAGAACAGGTATGTGCGTCGGTCCCTTGGGGCCACCTTCAGAATCTCGTCAATCTCTTTTTCAAAGTCCATGTTCAGCAATCTATCCGCCTCATCAAGGACAAGGTACTTGACTGTTCGTATATTGAACCCCTTCGTGTTCGAGAGATGGTCCACCAATCGACCTGGTGTCCCAACCACAATGTGCGGTCGTTTCGCAAGAGCAATTGATTGCGCCATCATGTCGATTCCTCCCACCACCACCGCGCACTTCACCCCGATTCCAGACCCCAGGGCCTCAAATTGCTCAGCTATCTGAATAGCAAGCTCACGAGTAGGCGACAGAACACATGCAAAAAGGGGCTGGGGTTTCTCAAGCAGCGCCTGCAAAATGGGGATTGCGAATGCCGCTGTCTTCCCAGAGCCAGTCTGAGCCAACGCAATGATGTCACGCCCCTCCAGTGCATGAGGGATAGACTCGGCCTGTATCGCAGAAGGCGCCTTCCATCCCATGGATTCTGCTGCATCTGCAAGCTGGGAACAGATACCAAGTTCGATGAACTTCCCAGCGGCACCCGACTGATTGTCTCCCTTGCCCTCTCCCCCATCCTTCTCTACTGCTTCCCCACTTTTTCCCGCCATGCTGTTTCCAGCCTGTTCTGCGCCTGTCTCTTATACACATCTAGATGTGTATAAGAGACAGCTCTATACACGTGTGATTTGCTGCCTTGCACGCACATAGGCAAAAGACTTACCTCTCTATACACGTGTGATTTGCTGCCTTGCACGCATAATCTGATTCACCCTCTCTATTCAAAGATATATGGACCTCACCTCAAACTGTAGAGTACACGCAAGTCATTTTACATTTGCTCACTAATTAAAAAAAAAAAAAAACTCTTGCACAGTTGCCGTTGTAGATGATCTAGGTATGCTTACCATATCTGTTACATGGGTTATCATCCATCCATCACATTAGGTCAGACGTTCACTACTCCCCTAACCAACCAATTCTCCACTTTTCCAGTTGGCGAACTTCCTATATCTGGGCCAACTACCATCTAATTGACAGAATCAGACTAAGGCACCCCCCTTTAAATCCCCTTAGCCCCCTTAGAACCAATTTACACGCCCCTCCTCCTCCTTGACAGCCAACACTCAAGAAAAGGAAAGAGTCCAGATTTGGGCTCCTCTGGGCATGCGTGCAAACCCCCCACTTCCCAAAAGAAAAGAAAAGAAAAGGACCCCACTTATTCATACGCCCGGCTACCGCGGGCATCAGACCTCCCGGGGCCAGGCGTGACAGTGTGCCTGGCCGGGTGTGACAATCTTCTTAGCCTAAATGTTGGCGTATTTCGTTGGGTACCCCTAAAACACAGGGGTACAACGAAATCCCCCGAACTTCTGCTTTTGCCCTTGTCCTGGCCATGGGTACCATATACCCTTGCCCGTGGACTGCCGACGCCGACACACAACTTTTGCCATCTGCCCCTCTACCAGGCAGGCATCTTTTCTGCCTGCCCCACATCCAACTTGGCGCCGTTGAGAGCGAGAGATAGAGAGAGAG